AAAATATATATTAGATCTATTATATTTAATTCAAATATGAAATTCTGTCAACATTATGATTTTTTCTCCTGAAAACCAAATTTGTCATTCAATGGTTTACAGTATAACACATAGACCTTCATTTTCATTTGATAATATGTATTTTAACAGTAATGAATTATTTGATAAACAAATACTTTTGTAAATAATGTCGCTTAAATTGACATATTTTAGGATTAATCTTTGCGTTATTGATGAAGTATATAGAAACAGAATCCATAAAGAATGTCTTAAACGACAAAATTGAAAATATTGCAAGCTCAGATTTATTGAGCTTATTCACGGGGCTGTACTATAAAGTGCAAGCTACCGAGTACATGACTTGCACCAATATTAAGTATAATTAAGAAATAATATATCCCAAACTGATTGTATCGCTCATAATAATTCGACATTTAACATTGAATGGTATTAAATTCGAAAAGATTTGTTCAAAATGTTTGAAAAAATATTAAAAAATACTACAAGATACTGAGCATGTCCAAGTCATACGTGAATTCAAAGCAAGCCCATATACATCTATTCAACTTCTACATTACCCACAAACTTCTTCAACAAGGCTCCTTCTATCAATAATTGCGGTTTTTTTTTTTGTTTTTTTTGTCATCTTGTTTTTTTTTAATTTTACCATCAACGTTTTGAATGAAAATTAGGGTAGATTTAAAAAAAGTATTTTTTATTATATACTTATAGAAATTATCAAACACCCGTGCCGATTTTGCGACTCCGTAAATATGGTATTGCACGGCCGTGCATATATTTTGACGTGACGTCATTAGCGTTATACAAACATTGTGTAAAGACGCGCTAAATGTTAGCGTTATATACTATAGGCGCGTCAATGAAAACTGACTCTTATTTCACTGAAAAAGGTCTTTATTTCGGGTATGTGATAAATAGAATATTAAATTCGTGTAAGTGCAATACTGAATTTATTGCACTCGTTGAATAAAATAATATTATGCTCGCAAGAGGCTCGCATATTATAATTTTATTCAACTCGTGCAATAAATTCAGTATTGAACTTGCACTCATTCAATATCCTCTATATATTAAATATTGAGAATTCTAACACGACCCGCATTTTCCCTATTGAACATAAAGAACCGAAAGTGTGTGTTATTATGCAATAAAATCACTGTTGATAATATGTACGGAAACAAACCAGACGAGCGTTTCACTTACATAACGTAAGTTTAACGTATATATTTTTATGTAAATTTAGGATTTACGCAAAACGTAAGTTTACGTTAGTTGCGTTTCACTATAATACAGAACGTGCAACTTACGCCAGCAGTAAGTGAGCGTTACTTTACGTTTAAAATTACACAAATGCATATATATATATATATAGCTAAGAAAGTTTAGTGAAACGAAAATAAAACGTATGTTCTGCTTACGCAAACAGTTACGTTCAAACTTGATTTCTGATAACGAAAGTGCGTTAGTGGAATGAAACCCTGGCCCCGTGTTCACTAACAAAAGATCAGGATCAGGATTAAGTGATCCTGATTTTATTTTCATTGTTTTATGTTACTAAAATTAATCATGCTTTCATAGAATTGAATGGTATATATTCAAAATGTAAAATATTGCTGATTTGCAAAGAAACCAAACTATTTTGGGATAAAATCAACAAAAAACAAAACAAATACTAAAATTTTCAGATCAAAATAAGGATCAATTTTAGGATCAAGGTCAATATTTGGATCAACTGTAAAATGTCCGTATCTTAGAAAAATAACAATAAATGTATCTAAAAAATTCATAAACTTGCTATTATTAGTCCAGTTTTATCAAATTAATATTAGATATTTAATCTATGAAGATAAGCAATGAAGAATATTAGAGTTTTTAAATTTGATCCTGATCTTGATCCTTAAATCTTTGTGAACACGGGGCCAGGTGCAATTTAGCTTTAAATATCACGTACGGCAGCATTATATTTGCTACGCCCTCTTGCTACGCCCTTCATCGCATCCGAACTCTAGACAGTGATGTTATTGGGCGATAAATTCACTGTTTGGATATATTATTTCTTAAATATAAAAGGAAAAAAGAAGAAACATTTCCTTACCCCGTAAGCAAAGCACAATGGTCATAATTAAAATGACGTAATGAAGCCTCTCCCCAATTAACGAAAGCATCTATTATGTAGTCACCATCTGCTTGTCCGGCATCGTTGACGAGATGATCTTCTACAAACGGCGAATCGCTTGGATCCTGCGGATATATGATACATTTAACGCATGATGCGTCGGAATATCCATTACAATATGAGACATGATTTTCAACAAATAGTGTTTCGCTTGATACACGCAGATACAAGATACATTAGACAAAATGATGTGTGTAATAGTCATTACAATAAAAGACATGGTTTGGCTTGATACCGGCAGATGCATGATACATATAAAACACATGCTGTGTGGAAATATTCATAACAATATAAGACATGGTTTTCTACAAATGGTGCATCGCGTGATACCTGCGGCTAATGATTCATGTAACACATGAAACGTGAAGTTGGCAGTAGCAGTGGCACAGCAGTAGCAAAAATTATAAAACGTGAAGTTGGCAGTAATAGTTGCACAGCAGTAGCAGTAGCAATATTAACACTCGTAGAGTTTCCAGGGTTTATTGTTGCCAATGTTTTATTGACATGTTCGACTTCTAGGCACGTATGAGGCACTTTGAAGACGTTCAGGTGTGTTGGTGCCAATAGAAATAATGATTTTTTTTACTTCTAGGGACCTTAAAATGTATTTTTCATTGGCCTGCGACTTAATGTTTTATATTCGCAGATTTTAAGGAAATTTTGGTACCAATGCAGATAATGACTATTCAGACTTCTAAGGACCTGCCAGATTATGTGACACTCGCAGACTTTCAGTAATTTTGTATAGCCAATGGTGTTTATGACATGTTTGACTTCTAGGCACACGTTTCATTTCTTTGGTCTGCGACTAATTCTCGGACACTCTGAAACACTTCACGTTTTATAAATTTTGCTATTGCTACTGCAGTGCCCACTGCTACTGCCAACTTCACGTTTTATAAGTTAGCTACTGCTTCTGCTGCGCTACTGTTACTTTCTGTGCTTCTGCTACTGCCAATTTCACGTTTCATAATTTTGCTACTGCTACTGCCAACTTCTAGCTTTATAATTTTGCTACTCCTACTGCTGTGCTACTGCTACTGCTGTGTTACTGCTACTGCCAACCACGTTTTATAACTTTGCTAATGCAACTGTTCTGCTACTGCTACTGCTGCGCTACTGCTCTACTCCTGCCAATTTCATGTTTTATAACTTTGCTACTGCTCACTGCCACTGCTAACTTCCTACCGGTATCTTATACATGAATTTAATCCAGGTTATCGTTACACTACAAATATCAGACAGGGCAGGGTTATTTTACATGAATGTGTATATGTGGTAACATTTGAAACATCCTTTTTTTAAATATGTCACAAAGGGATAATTTAGTTTATACACATGTACAAATTTATTTTAGTTCGATTGTATTGGAAGCTATAAGCTTATAGTAAAGCTCTCGAAATCCGTTCCATGAACCAACCATTACTAAGCAATTAATGTAAAGTTTCTTGCTCAAAGAAACAACGGCTTGCCCCCTGACAGGGTTTGAACCAAAGCGGTCAGAAATTCTAAGACTAGTCCGGCGCGTTAACCACTCGGCCACGCTGCCACACAAAAGTGATGAATTTGCAAATGCCTCTGAAAATATATTAATTTGAAAATTTGTGTTGGCTTAGGATTTTATGGTTAATTTCATCTAATAGAGAACAATAAAGATTATTGGTCACTTAGGAATTAATATCATATCGTATAAGTCTTACTCGTTCCTTTTTTGTAAGGGCTGCTTCAATTTGTAGATTGTCGTTTATTTATTAAACTATGTAAAAATACGAAGAGTTAATCGGTTAGTTCCCTATGAACACTTACATCAGCTATGTAAATTCCAGCAAAAAGACAGGAAATTGTATACGAGTAGTCTGGCCATTAGTTGATATGTTAGATCCACCTGAAAAATGTAATATATTTTCTAGCATTACCCCATTGTTCCCTATTGAATATAGAAGAAACCAAAAAGTGTGTGTGTTAGAAATTAAGAATTAACATCGGTCTTAGCGGTTTATCATGCGTAAGAATTGACCATGAAAAGCCATAGGCTTGAGAGGTTAATTTTCCGCATCAAAACAACAATACCGCGTGTTAAATGCCGATAAACACCGCTCAGACAGATATTATTTCGATTCTAATAAGAGAAATTAAGGAAGATCACTAATGTTATTTTTTCAAGCAGAGATTACTCCCGGTGCTGATTTTTGTATAACGCTGTTCGATTTCGCATCCTTCTGTTGTTAAAATATAGAAATGATAAAACAACTTACAATGACGTCATTACGCTGCTTACGGGTGTCAAAATATTTATTTTAACTGATATGGATCTAATATGTGGCTTTATACGTGAGATATTATTTTAGTATTGTATGAAAAAGATACATTATAAGAACTGAAACTATTAGTTACAATGTTTTTTATTGTTGCTTTAAAAGGCTTTGTAAACTATTTATTCGAGGGAGAAAACATAAGAGGCTCATAAACAAGTAGTCCATAACCAGTGTTTATTAGCCACACCGTATTACCGGCGGCAGTGATGGCAGATCACTGCAGTGATGGAAGATATCTGAAAATTACCGATCGATACATGTAGGTTAAAATTTGGTTGGTTTAATTTTATTACACAAATACGGCCCATTTCATTGCTATAAAACTATTGTCCATTGAATGGAGATACAGTAAGGTAATTTTAGACTCGTTTTTTCCTGTTTTAAGACTATTTTGAGCAGGTTAAAAGTGACAGCCTCGGAAAAATCCGTGAAAATGTCTGTTTTCTGTTCAGTTTTAAGTAAATGGCAGGATTTCCTGTTATCGATATAGACGTTCATCCATTGGGGTCACGCAAGCCAAATATCTACCCCGTGAGTCTTTTCTTGAAAGTTTTACACACGCTCAATCTTGTCAAGTCGAAGAAAAAATGCTGCCGTTGTAGGCAGATACATATTATAAATGCTGCCGTCGATGGCAGAAATACCATGAAAGTGGCTAACATTCTGACAGAAAATCAAGTTCAATCTTTTATCAATTCCTCTTTTCTTTGCGTCCTTTTAGTCGGAATTGAGACGTTAAACTATCATTTCTAATATTTTCTCAAGATAAAAAGTTATTAATGCGGTATGTGCATCGAAAAAAAAGCTTTTTAGCAACGTGCAGTTACAATACAAAAAGTGATGATTTAGTACGACAAAATTGCACTATAATTAGAGAAATGAACATGAAAAACTTCATTTTTCTATATTCATGCATGTGTGCTTGATCTGTTGTGTCTGTCAGTTACATGCATACAATACTATATATGTATCTTAAGTTTAACAGCGCACTCCCTTTTTTAATACATAACATCAATTGCATATTACAGCAAGTAACTTCTGTAAGTGAATATTCATTTGCTAGCATATGACATTATTTTCTCGAGGTAATAATGTTCACCGCTTTACTTACTTACTTACTTACTTACTGTAACACTTTTTAATCTGTTTCGCTATTCAATATGGCCGCCGGATTAGATAATTAAAGCAGGATTATATCCCCAAATTTAGACTCTGAGGTTACGAGTTTGTTTTTGATTTCAAAACTGAATCTTGTTTAATAAATGATTTGTCTGAAAAATGCAAAAACAAAAAAAAGAAAAGGTTATTTCTAAAATACGTTAATCATAACTTCCCTTTAGGGTAAAAAGACACCACGCTAAAAATTACGACATTTAAACATCGAAGATGTCAAGGTATTACAGCCCCTGGACATGGTACAAAAGGATTAATCAGTGTGTGTGACACGACCTATGTATGCTTGATTGGTCAACTGATTGGACTTTATAATAATCTTGAGCGATCTCAATTATCACTTAAAATCAGGGATGCGAGTCAATGCGCAATCAAGCAAGCTGAAAAGACACACTCAAAATACTATTTGTTTTAATAGTACTTTATGAAATTGATAGCCGAAAAATAGGTTTTTTTATCTATTCAATATAATAACAAAAATTATGAGATTTAACAGATTAACATATTTTAAAAGAAAATTGCTTAGTACTTCTAAAAAATATGTTTATAAATTTTTAGATAAAAGATCAAAATATATCTCACTTCGTGAACACAAAAAGTGTTCACTGTGCCACTCGTGAAATATTCCTTTTTGTACTTATTCGGTGAAATATATAGAGAATATTGAATGTGTATAAGTTCAATACTGAATTTATTGCACGAGTTGAATAAAATTATATCATTATGCGAGCCTCTGGCGAGCATAATATTATTTTATTCAACGTGTTCAATAAATTCAGCAATGAACTTGAACGCATCTAATATTCTATTTATCACATACCCCAAAAAGTCTTTACAATATGTTTGTATACCGCTAATGACGTCACATCAAAATATATGCATGGTCGTGCAATACAATTTTTACGGAGTCGCAAAATCGGCAGGGGTGAATTGTCGAATAATCGCCACAGACGATGCAATAATGATAAAAGTAATTTTCCAAGAGATAAATGAGACATATGGAAATCAGATATTACCTCGTTTAACATAAAAGATGTGAATTGTATCAGTTTATTAACTGTGGCAGTGTGTCTGTTTTTTTCTCCTTCAGTCAAAGCATATGTCCTGAAAACAGAGAGAAAACAGTTCGATATCCCGCGCGTTTCTTTATTTGTTAGCCAAGGTTTCAATTAAAAAGGAAATTTTAATCTTATTCGGACGAGAAATAACAAATGATTAAGAATAATTGGTTAAAAAAAAAATTCTTATACAGGAAGAAGAACAAAACAACAAAGTTATTCTTCACTGAATGAAAACATTAGATATAAATGAAATAGAACTATCAATTTTTGCTTGGAAGATAAAATGCATGTAGCAAAGACTAGTAACAAAGTTCAAATAAAGCAGTGTAACAACGCACTTTGGGGTCAAGTGCACTTTGGGGTCCGACCCAAAATGCGTTAGGTACTTTGGGGTCCAGCCCTAACGTGCGTTACGCACTTTGGTGTCAAGTTTGAAACGACCGCACTTTGGGATCGATCATAAAAATACAATCAATAAGAATGAATTTTAGTGATATTTTATGTTCTAACACTATATCGCATTTTTTCTATATAAACAACCCTGTAAACATGCAGTGGTTGGGCCAACCACGGAAAATCGTCATAGGAAAATCGTTGTTGGGCCATGGTTGGCCCAACTCTAATTAACATGTATCATAAATGCAATTGTTGGCCCAACGTCGAACCAACCATAAGTTTACGCCAGCGACATTTCTGCGTTGGCCCAATAACGATAAATATGTACTTTAAAACAGATGTCGGGCCAACGTTTGACCAACGATACATTTTCGTCAAATATGATTATTACTGCACCTTCTGGACCCAAAATTTATTTTTTTAAAACAGATACGCATGTAGATATTTTACTGTATATAAACAGTACACTACAATGAGTAAAGACTAAAGTTTATAAAGTTTTTTTTGAAGCCATGTTCAATATTGTCACATTCAAGAAATACTCATATAAATTAAATGAGAAATGTGAGAAATAATTACTTTGTGAGTCTAGAAATGACCAAAGCCCAGGCTATGCAGTAGTAGGGGGTGTAATTATAGATCTATAGAAATCTTGAGGATCTGATGTATAATCTAAGGCACATGTGCTGGAATAACCATCCTAAATGTTAACAATAAACCTCCGGAATCTTCCACTCTGAACTCTAATTAACCTCTGGTTATGTTATCAATGAATGGAAATAGGATCATTTTGGCACTACCCATCCTTTCCCTCGCTTGATTTCGAAGCTGCGTGGACGTGTTTACAGATAGATCTAAATAAATTTGTATAAGACTGCAATCTCAACACTGAAAAATGTAAGTAGATCTAGAGTTTTTTACTTTAATCTTTTAAATAAACCCTTCTAATAAAGTAATGTATTAAAACCTGCATTTAAAACCTGTTATACTATCCACGTGACCAGGTCATGTGATAATACAAAATGGCGGATTGGTAAAGGATAATACTTTGATGTTTTCAGGTAAACAAGCCAGAATGAATTTGATTTTTGTTATGAAATTAAAACCATTTAAAAATATAAGTGTTTATCAGCTTAAAATATGATAATTAAAAATTTGCATTAATGCATAGTTTTACATCTGAATTTATTGTGATAACTGCAAAAAAATTGCAAGTTAGTACAAACTGACAAACTACAATTAGCACTGCAGTGTTTAGCTGATACAATCTATTTATAATAGGTAATTATGATTGATTATGAGTTATTTGCAAAATTCTGCTTTGTTACTAGACTTTTTAATAGTTACACCACTCATTTCAGTAGAGTGTATACGAAACTTTGTGTAAATTTAATTTGAAGTTGACTTCGCATTAAACACAAATTACTTTACCCGACTGCAAAAATTGTTTTTATTTCATTTCAGACAGCAAATTTATGTCTAATTGGGAGAGCAATGTTCGCCGTGTTATGTCTCACACTTTGTCTCAGGACGTTGCCCTAGAATACAACTTGGTTGGAAAAGGCTCGAAAAAAACATTCGAAAAACTTAGACTTAAAAAAGTCATATTAGGTTTGTATTTTTACTTTCACCGGTGTTAGAAAATTATTTACACCGTGGGTGTAAAATGTGACTCTTTTGTTGTAAATGATCATCATAACACTGTTTGCATTTTGACAGAATTATGCCCCTTTTAAACTTTAAAATTTTAGGTTAAAATTTGTAATTATGTCAAATATCTCTGTTACTATTAAATCTATTGTCTTGTAATTTTAAATATTTCTTTACTATCAAAGTCTTATCCCATAGCTCTTTTTGCATGTTTTCAGATTTATGTGCCTTTTTACTACTGAATTCTAATAAGTAGTGTATATTTAAATAAAATCAGTAAACTGTATAAATTTCAGATGCTGTAAGAGGAAGTAGACAGGGGTCTACTAATAATGAAATCGAGAAGACAATGAAGGAGTGGCTAAGATATGCCAAGGATAGGGAAGGCAGGCGGAGGAAGAGACTGACTAAAAAGATGCAACAACAAAGAGAAGAAAATGAAAATGATATGTGAACAACATTTAGTAATAAATTGAAGTAATTCGTATATATTATTTTCTTTTACGAAAACAAGGCATTGGGCCAACGAAGGGCCAATGTTTATTGTAGAAAACCAGTCAGTGGGCCAACGGGGGCCAACAAGAAGAAGGGAAACCAGTTGTTGGGCCAACAGAGGGCCAACGATAGGAAGGAAAACCAGTCATTGGGCCAATGGAGGGCCAACGATAAGAGAAGGAAATCAGTCGTTGGGCCAACCATATACCAACCGTTGGCCCAACGTTGCCCCAATTAGCAAATTGACATTGGGCCAACGTTGGCATTATGTGTTTGGCCAACAAAGCAAATGTAATTGGCCCAACGTTGGGCCAACTACTGTCTGCTATCTGGGAAAGAAGGAAGCGTGCATTATTCTACAACAATGGACTCGCCGTTCTTATTACCTCCCTTTGTATTTTCAAACCGACACATTGACGGCGCCATTTTGTTCGAAAAATCTGATAAATAAAAAAAAAACAGTTTTTTTCGTTGTAGCTAGAATGTAAGAAAATGGTCTTACTAAGAAAAAAATCCAAACACGAATATCTAAAATTCAGTCGTTATTTATTTGAACAAAAACAATTAAATCAAGAACGTTATTTCAATGTCGCAAATTAACGAGTTTAATTTCACATTTATTTCACTATTAATACTTTGGCGTTCGCTTGAAAATTATAGAGTGAAATAAAATAAACAAACAATATCAACGATTTCAAAATTTGTTATTCTCAAAATGTTTCTACACACACTGGAAAAGCCTTTTAAAAAGAACGTTTCTATTGGAAACTGAGGCGAAAACAAATTTAACCAACAAACCTAAAGTCCAACTATATAATAATTATAATATTTTTCTTGACGTGTTAAAATGTAAATAGATATTGATTCTTCGTGCATTATAGTATATTCTAACACTCTTTGTGATTTTGTCACTATAGACAAAGAAGAATAAAACCGGTGTTAAACTGCAAATAATCACTGGTGACGGACTACTTGTATATTAAACACCGGTTTGGAGAATTGATGCATAGGAATTGACCACGAAGGTTGTAGGCCTGAGTGGTTACTTTTTTCGCACCAAAACAAGAAAACCGGTGAAAAATAACCACCGCTCAGACCAATATTATTTAACAAGATAATATAAAGAAGATCACTAATGTTATTTTTTAAGCGGAGATTACGTCCGGCACTTAAACCAGTGTTTATTGGCAGTTTAACACCGGTTTTTTTCTTCTTTGTCTATAGTGAAAAAATCACGAGGAGTGTAAGAATATTGTTTCAATTTATTATAATTATTTTTTATATTCAATTATTTGTCTCATAGGATATTGTTCTTAAAATAATAGATTTTATTATATACTTATAAATGAAATATTGAGAAATATTGATGAAATAAAATGCGCATTTTCATTTTCCGTATTTTCACTGTAAAAATTTATTTTCACTGCAGTGAAACACACAACATATTTTCCGTATTTTCACTGGTGTGTTGCCGGACTACTTTCTTTTAAATTCTGCCAGTACACAAAATTTAAGGGAAAGTCTTTCAAATTTTAATGTCAAAAAGGAGAAAAACGTATATAATAAACAGAAAATTCAAGTTTTTTTCTATAAATACATGATTTATTTTCATCTTGTGGCATGAAAATTACCATATTTCAATCGTGGCTACCGCCACTCATGAAATATTTATCTTCATACCACTCGATGAAAATAAATCATGTATTTATAGAAAAAACTTGAATATCCTCTATATATTTATATGTATGATGTGTATTGTGTGTAATAATACATTACATAACATATCAACATATCCATATCGATAATTGTAGAGATTACATGTCACACATATTTCCATCTAATTAAATCAAAATCCTCATATGATATGATCTGTTCAGGTCCCATTAAAATCTGGATTTAACCTATTTCTAGTGTTATTAAACGGAGGTAGCCTTTCTGAATTGATTACTTATAGTTTTTTCTATGTTGAATGTTGCAGAAAAGACTTGCATTGAAAGGAATTCAGGCTGTGTCAATCTGCCACCACTGGAAAAAATGAAACGGCTTCAAAGATGGATGCCATATCATAAGAACAAGAATTTGTAACAGAGTTACCAACATCCCCCGCCTCGGGAAAGTTTTATATGAAGCGTAAAATTTCGCTATTTCAAACGATTGAGGTAAGGAGTCCAACATTATGACCAATGCTAGATCTGCAAATGCAACAATCAATTTATTAAAGAAATAAAAATGAAACACGGAATTTAAAAATCTTTATTACATGCTTTTCGGTGGTTTATATATATATATCAGTGATATAAAACTGGTAATTTCACTGTTTGAAACAGTGAAATTACCACTTTGGTAAATTCACTGTTTTGAATTAAGCCCCTTACGTTGTTTCAGTGAAATACCAGCGTGCACAGTACTGGGTACCAACTTAATGACGTGACGTCGTAAATAACGTCACGTTATATTATTATTATTTGGCGCGCATTTCATTTCAGTATTAGGTTTAATGTCTTTTTAAAATGTTTCTTTGCATATAACAAAAAGAAAATTTGTTTAGTTTAGTGTAAGATCGAAATATATTTCACCTTGTGAACACCAAAAGTTCATATTTCACTCGTGGCTGCGCCACTTGAAATATACCTTTTGGTGCTCACTTAGTGAAATATATTCCGATCTTACACTGAACTAAACAAATATCCTCTATAGAACTACATCCCATCATATTTAATATGGTGTTCAATATGACACCAAAAGTTATCTAGTAACTGGCTGACAAAGCAGGATATTTGTGTAGAAATACATTCGCAATTTAAGTACTATAGTAGTTTGTTATATAGAGCAGCAATTTTTAGATATTTAAAGTAGTAAAATTAATAAAACACTTACCCCTTAAGCATCAAACACATATTTTTATTACTGCTACATCAGCATTTAAATGACACTTAGAAATATTGATGCATTTAAGTATCGACTCCATTTACAAGTTTTCAGTGTCGCAGATCGAAATAAGTCGGTACTTAGTATTTATGCAGAACTCAGTTCACACCTTTAAAACTCTCGAACCCAACGTTCGTTGATATGTAGCATACCAACGCACTTGGCGGTCAATTCTTATTAGATTTTGATCCCAAAGCGCGTTTGATCCCAAACTGAGATGTGAGGTTTACCGCACTTTGGGGCTAGATCCCAAAGTGCG